ACTCTCATTGCCGTGATGGCAACCGATCCTTTCCCTGAGGAGGTCAAAGTGACCGTCTTTATGGAAGGCCTCCGAACTTACTTGGCCAGAATGGAAGTCTCCCGTGTGCACCCGTCTTCTTATAAGAAGCAGTGAATGTGGTATTAAATGCCGAACTCAACTATAAGTTGGCACGACTTGGTTGGAGTCAACACTTTAGCAGCTTGTTGAGCGGGCCTAAGCCGATGGATCTCAGCTTATCTATTAAAGAGGAGGTAGAGCACCGAGCTGCCGAGCAGCGTTCTAACACCTGGTGATGTTTTCGTCAAACCGACGTCCCGCTTCTCACCAGTCTTCTGGTTTGTCGCGGGGAAACGACAGCACCCAGTTGACGCGGGGTGCCTTACTGGGATAAAACTGTGTTCTGTTAAACTCCAAAGAAGTAGAGGGCAGCACGGCTCAGCCCGGAATAGCTCCGTGCTCATTAACACGGAACGTGCATGCACGCCGAGCTTGCACGTCGTAATAAACGACCGTGAAGGGCATTGATAATCGTGGAGGCCCTTATTGATTCCGGGGCGTCGGGCAATTATGCTCGACGCTCCACGACAGAAGGAAATCAGCTGTATGATGAGGCGCTGAAATCTCGGTTGAGTGATACCGTCACTGTGCCGAAGCTCCCTGGAGACCTCGGTGTCAAGTTTCTTGACGTCGATAGCGTAGAACGCTGCTTACGCTAAGACTTGAATATAAGGTATGATCTTATCCTTGGTATGGCATGGTTGGAACACCATGAGCCATGGATCGACTGAATGTCAAAGAGACCTGGGCGCTACGCGCACATCTCCTGGTGAAGCTTCGGTGAGTCATGATCCCACCTCTACTAGAAAGCTGAAGCGCTATTGGCGCGGGGATGGATCGTGACGATCAATGTGCTGGAGATCGGAGTATCCGAGTTGGACAAGGGTCCCGGGCATGGCTCGCGAGCTGAACGTGGAGTGAACTGAGTACTGTTCAAGTATCAAACAGTTGCCACATGCCAAGAGTGGCATGGTCGGATGAGGCCCGGGGCGTCGAGGGCGAGGCTCCGGTGATGCGCGTGATTTGGCACGAAGTCCACTGATCTCTGCTAACGTTTTGAAGCAGCTGCTGCATGTTAAGAGTGGCATGGCCGAACGAGGTCTGAGGCATTTTGGGCAAGGCTCTTCTGATGCGCTTGGAGTGGCACGTTATTCACTGGACAAAGACTACGGTAATAGCGTCTCTTCGTCGAATAATGTTGATAACATCAAAGATTCGATGGAGCAGAGATTGGGGAGACTGGAAGACGCTGAGTGCATGTATCAACTGGTCTCGTCCAGACGAAAATCCTCTTTAGAGAAATTATCTGCAAGACGCCGGGTGTCGACCCTGACTCAGGGTGTGTCTACGATAGCGCACAGCTAACACCCTTGTGAATGGTATGACGGGAGAGAAAGATGGCGATGTCACGTCGAGGCTATTTCCGCGGTGGATGCTCTACTCGAGCTGGTCAAGATGTCAGTCGAAGAGTTTGGCGGCTTTTTGAATGCGGCAATTTAGCTGAGGTGGTCATTGTACGACCGAACGAGTAGATTAAATTGTCGTCACTTCGAGATGAGTTGGTCCTGGAGGACACTGAAAGGGTGCCTAGTGCACGAAGTGGATCGTTAATCCTGAAGAATTTATTGGATCCGTACTATATTTTGGTAAGGAAAGCTAAGAAATTCGTCTCCAAGACGCGCCGTCGGTCTTACCTCTGGACCGAGGTGTGCATCATGAGATCGACCTGGTTTCGAGGACCAAATACTGCGTAAGGCGCCAATCACTCCTGCCCAAGGAGCAGTGTGACGTCGTTGACGCCTTTTTTTGTGCGAAGCACGACGCTGAAATGGTGCGTGAGAGCAAGTCTTCCCATTGAAAACCTACATTTTGTTGAAGGAAGCCGAACGGCAAGTAGCCCCTAGAACAATATGGGTGGTTGGACAAAGTACAGTGTACTCGCCTGGTAGATGTTTAATACCAATTGCTCATGACAGCGAGTGATATCCGGTGGGTACTCCGAGCGGCATGCTCCGGGAGTGGCTGGTGATGTGTCAAATGCACCAGCAACATTTATTTATCTTGTGACACAGATGTTCAGGCCTCACCGAGCGCATTCGTCCATAGTCGTGCGAAGCACAGGAAGATGAAGCGAACCACATCGTCCATTTAAGAGCGGTGCTCGAGTGCATGCTAACGAACAAGCTGATAGCTAACGCAGTTAAGATCTTCGGCGCTGAAGAAATTCCCTTTCTAGCGCGATTCATTGGGAAGTGTGGGCTTCGAGTGGATCCTGCTAAGGTTAAGGCCATTATGGACTGACGTTCTTAAGAAAACGAAAAGGCCTTGCGCATGTGGCTTGGTCTCGCCAACTAATTGCACGGCCATTGTCGAATTTCCTTAAAGGATGCGGAATGGTGTTGAGACACCGAGCGTCGAGAGGCATTTTATAGGATCAAAGACAGCCTCCTTCATGCACCAATACTGGCGTTGCCAGACCCCGATCGTCCTTTAGTGGCGTCTGTGACGCTGTGGACTTTGCCATTGGCTGTGCACTGCTGCAAGTAGACGCCGAGGGGCGAGATCGGGTGATCGCGTTCGAATCTCGCCAGCTCAAGGCTGCGGACATGATCTACCCAGTCAACGACAAGAGTTACTTGAAATATAGTATGCACTTGTTATGTTCAGAGTGCACCTGCTTGGATCATAGCCGTTTGTGATCTACACAGATCATGCGTCACTACGCGCTGCGACTTAACGCCTCACCTCTTTCAGAGAATGGCCAGTTGACTTTTCTTCTTTGCATAATATAACTTTAAGGTGAAGTATACGCCAGGAAAGCTGATTGCTTTGACTGATGCGTTGTCGCGCCGCATACGTGGGTGATGGTATGTGTGAAGCGCTGCTACAGACTCTCTAGAGCAAAGGGTTGGAAACTCGGCTTGTCGGTGGGATTGCGCGCACGGTTACAAAAATATTCGTTGAGTAACGGGTTGCTGAATTATAGCATCGATTCGACGGATACGCCACGAATTGTGGTTCCTCACGGTGAGAATTTCATAAAACGTATCATTTATGAGGCCCACGACACCTCACTCAGTGGTTCTCTCGGTCGTGAGAAGACGTATAGCTCTGTGAGTTGCCACTACTGGTGGCCCAAGCTGTACGAATGGGTGAGCACGTATGAGAAAATGGGTCAAAGGGTGAAGCCGTCCCCCAAACCGGCGGCGCCGCTGGCCAGTTAACTGACACCCTCGAGTTATGGCAGTCCATGTGTATGGACTTTGGGTTTGGCCTGCCGAAGGATTCGGCGGGCAACACGAATGTGGTGGTCTTTGTGAACCGATGCCTCATCTTGTGGCAGTGTCGGACGCCATCGACGGTGTAAGTACAGCGACGCTGTTTGTGGATCTTTTATTTCGACAACATGGAGTTCCGGAGTCAATTGTCTCCGACAGAAACCCACGCTTCACTGGAAATTTTGATCGACAACATTCAGGGTGCTGGGCACCAAGATGACTATGTCAACGGCGGATTATCCGCAGACCGATGGTCAAACTGAGCGAGTGAGTCGCGGCGTTGAAGACATCCTTTGCAGCGTCCGCGCCGAGACGCCGAAGCGCTGGAACACCATGCTGCCACTGGTGGAGTTCGCTCTGAAGAATGCAGTGCATGCGTCTACCGGCAAGACGCCGTTCTATGTGAACGGGCTTCTCAATCCTCGCATACCGCTGACGCCGACATCTCATGCCTCAGGGCTTGGTGGGGAAGGAATAGCCGGACGACAAGCTGATGTCAGCCCCGTTGTTGTCAGTAAAGAAGTCGATCTACTTCTTGTCTACCAGACTGAGTGTCTTACGACACGTTCGCGATGCAACGTCTAAAAATCAAGACATCAGAAAGAATATGCAGATAGAGTAAGCACTAGATATGTTGAAAACTTTGAGGTCGGAGACATGGATATAATATATGCTAAAACCTTCCTACACATGCGACATCTGCTATCTTTTTGACGGAGCTCTATCCACGGTTCATTGGACCTTTTAAGGTCGTGGCCAAATGAGGCCTTGCGTATACGCTAAACCCTCCAAGAAGGATGCACCCACCCGGTGATTTTAGTGGGCTTGCTGAAGCCGTACCCGGATCCAGCGCAACTGAACGCGGAAGCGTTGGCGAAGGGGCGGCGCCTTTAGGCGCTCGGCCACCCAGAAGCTGAATCAGCAACTGGTTTTGAGCCTGGAGTGCAACAATTCTCGTTTCCAACAGCGTAAGGCGCTCCACCGCCGCTCGTAGTGACGCATTCGTCTATTGGACGTCTAAGAGCCCCGTGATAGTTCTCAACGTGAGGCAGCCGGTGCACAAATTGCTCTAAGCTCTCAAGATCTTCCGCACAGCGGTATGCGACCCCAGCAAGGTGCTCGGCGGAGTGCCGATGACGACGGACTTGGAAATCCAGAGCTCAAAAAGCATCGCGAGTCATCGGGCGACGTCGTCATCGCCCGCCACTGGCTCTTCTCGATGAGAGCAATGGCGTACACTTTCACGTGGAACGCCTTGCAAGTCGACGTCGTCAACAGGATCAAACTCAATATGTTGTGAAGTTACGGGAATACCAAACTTCGAGAACGTTTGGGTGTTTGAGATGTTACGTCGGCAAGACTGCCCACACGTCGTGGACGCATATTATCAGAAGAATCATGACGATTCGCGTCGTCGTACGCCCCGCGCTTCTCGGTAATAGCCAGGGAAACAGAAGGACCATGAACTAAGTGTCCACAAAGTCTAACTCTCTCGATCATTGTCAAAAAGAAATCGATCTCACATGATAAGCTTAGATAAGCAGAACAAATATCTTTTACATTAGTCGCTTGACTACAAGGGAACCACTGTTGCAGATGGACCAGACGAAAAGATCCGTTCTCGATCGAGCTCTCCAAAGGCACTATTGTTCTGCCTGAATCATGGCTGAACACTTGGCCATCTCGGCGTCTCTTATTCACGAAGAAACTTTCCCCGTTTTATTGAAAAACGGGACGAACGCTTTAATCAGCGATCCCACAGTAGAGCTGGCTGTCCTCCTGCCGACGCTTATTATTTCACCCAGTATACGAATTTGAGCTTTTATATTTACACAAAAAATGACGACCAACGGAGACTTAATGCTATCAACTCGTAGAGAATTATCAGAATACTGTTAAAATAAGCACCGCCAACCTTTTCTTGACTATATCAAGCTACGAAGTTAACATTCGTCCACAATTATTACTCCGTGGTGATAAGCAAAAGAGGTAAGACATTTGGTCCTACCCATTAATTCGTCGAATATATCGTTAAATTGGTCATGATCATGATCAACGAATTATTCAAAAATACTTCGTGACCTGAAAGGTTGTTAAATATCATGCGGTGGTGAAGCTTTCTAGGAAGTGGTACATGCCATGTGTTTCATTTGGTTGTTGCAATCACATACACAGCACACAGATAATGTTGAAGTCATCTCCACATCTTTTATTGCTCTGTCTCGGACCCGAACATCGTTTACCTGAGATGCTACCTCATAAGGACGTGATTAGCTTGATTGATATTAGCGTCCTTACATGTAGTACGAGCGCATTTATATCCTCTGTGTCTTCTTGATCAAGCTGCGAGATCCATGAAGTATTTTGCAGCGGGGCTGCCGCAGCTTTGCTCTTTGAGGAAGCGTAATTTAGGTCACCGACCTTACGTTCTTCACAAGAAGCAGTACGAGTGTAGCGGATCGCAATCCGCTACCTTCAAGAGTAGTTAGAACCTTAACCCAAGGCTAATAAACTCTTCTGTTTAAAATGTCAACTCTATTTATTTGATTTATCTGCGGCAAAGCCGCACAATTTTAAATGTATAGATTTTCCTAAATTTTCATAGAAAAAGCTAGATATTTGGTTGCAGACACACCATGACACACCATGTCCCATCTTGTGTCACACGACACACCTGTTACCAGGTAAGTGTAACCCTGTTACATTTATCTCATTCTCCATTAGTAACATGACTCTTGACAGGTCGACATAAAATTATGTCTTACAAGAGGTCAAATATGTGAATCAAGTCTAAACAGCTGCCAAATTTTCAAAAAATATGTGAAAATATTTACGCTACCGCTATCTCTGCACCAACAGGGAGCTTACCCAACACCTTTGCGCATCTATATTGCTCGTGTAAGATAAGGACGCTGGACACTGCAGAATCCTTACGTAACATTCTATGTCTCATCGTTTACATCGGATTGTCTAATGGAATTTATACAAAGTAAACTGCATTCAAATCTGTTCATTTTTTAAACAAATGATCTCGTAAAAAAACAATAACAGTAGATACATCATGTATCGCCGTTATCTCTTCACATGTACAAAAGCCTGAGATCTCTTCATAGCGCATCTTGCTGGCTGTAGTAAGCGCTAGGGGACGCTCCACCGTTATTACGACGCTGACGGATGCGATACACTGTGAAACCCGCGACAGCAACAACAGCGCAAACACCAGCGACAATTCCGACAATTGTTGTCGCTCCAAGACCATTCAAATTAGATTCCGGCCCTTCCGAGCTTCCCGCAGTTGCGAAGGATGTGAATAATGTAGGAGTGTCATCATCATTTTGCTCGGCGTAATCCAATGTTGTGTTTGTATCCGAAAAAGTCGCAGGTGTCTCAGTCGTCATCTGCGCAAGAGTAGCTCCTGTCTCAGAATCCGTGGAAGTAATTTTGGCTGTGTACACTCCGTTTTCAGAGGTCACAGATGAATTCTGTGGCATGTCAATTCCAGTTTTGTTGGCTGAGGTCGTATCGTATGGCATGTCGGTTTCAACTTCCGAGGCATCGGTGGCATCGTACGACATGTTAGTGCCAGTTTCTGTGAAGTAAGCCGTGGAAGCACCAATTGACGTCACTTCATCCGTCTGGTTTGATAATGTAGAATTTGTGACAGTCAAGTCGGGAGTCTGACCGGCTGACGGAGCTCCAGTGGACGGGGCTTCAGTGGACGGCGCTCTGGTAGTCGGAGATGGAACTGGAGTTTCAATCAATTCGTCATCTTTCGTTTGGTCCAGGGTGACCTTCTCACTTGATCCAGGCGCAGTTGATTCGTTTCTCGTAGCTGTTGGGGTCATAAGACTTGCCTCGAACACACAGCCCCAGGCACCAGTCTTGATCTTAGCGCACATGGCATCAACAGGGGCGATACAACTGCCGGAGCTCGAGTAGCTGACCAATGCGTCGCGGCAATCCTGAACGGCGCGGTCGCCCATCTTGGGGCATAACGTTCCGGCTGGCGAATCACCAGAGCCGCTGCAAATAGGCCCTTCAATGCAGTAGGTTGCATCTTGCTCTACAGACACGTTAATGCATGTTTTCGGTCCGGTCGATGGAGGGGCAGGAGTGGTTCTTGGGATCGTTGGAGAAGGGGTGGTAGGTGCAGGCGTAGCAATGGGTCCTGTGGGAGCATTGGGTCCTGTAGGAGAAAGTGGAGAATGAGGTGCCGTTGGAGATGGCGTAGCACTTGGTTTGGTAGGAGTTGGTATGACATCGGAAGCCGTGGGAGCATATGGAGTATTGGGAGAATTAGAGGTCACTGGTGGCGTGGGAGGTGGCGTAAGACCAGGGCCGGTAGGAGCATTGGGACCGGTGGGAGATAGCGTAACATTATAACCCATAGGGGAAGGCGTAGCACCGGGTCCGATGGGAGCATTAGGTCCCGAAGGGGAGTGAGTGACATTGGATCCCATCGGGACAGGTGTAGCACTTGGGCCTGTAGGTGCATTGGGTCCCGTCGGGGTTGGCAGTGCACTGGGAATTGAGGGGCATGGCGTAGCAACAGGTTCGGTGGTAGCATCAGGTCCCGAAGGGAAATACGTGACATTGGTTGATCCCATCGGAGCAGGCGTAGCACTTGGGCCGGTGGGTGCATTAGGTCCAGTGGGAGAAAGAGGAGTAGCAATGGGGCCTGAAGGGTATGGCGTAGCACTAGGTCCGGTGGGAGCATTAGGTCCCGTAGGGGAATGTGTAACATTGGATCCCATCGGGACTGGCGAAGCACTTGGGCCTGTAGGTGCATTGGGTCCCGTGGGAGGATACACGACTTCGGGTCCCGTCGGAGTTGGCTGTGCACTGGGAATTGAGGGGCATGGTGTAGCAACAGGTTCGGTGGTTACATCAGGTCCCGAATACATGACATTGGATGATCCCATCGGAGCAGGCGTAGCACTTGGGCCGGTTGGTGCATTGGGACCGGTGGGAGAAAGAGGCGTAGCAACGGGGCCTGAAGGGTATGGCGTAGCACTAGGTCCGGTGGGAGCATTAGGTCCTGAAGGGGAAT